AAAAAAAAAAAAAAAAAAAAAAAAAAAAAAAAAAAAAAAAAGAGAGAGAGAGAAAAAAAGAGGAAAAAAGAGAGAGAGAGAGAGAGAGAGAGAGAGAGAGAGAGAGAGAGAGAGAACACACAGGGCGGGAAAGCCACTCCCATCCGGTCACATGGGTGGCAAGCCACTCCCACAAAGGAGGCCACACCCACAGAGTAGGTTCCAACAATTTTTGAAACCCACCACTGATGGACATGGACTATGACCAACAAGCAAATTAGGTAGAATGTGATCACATCGTAGCCAACGGTAAGTTGCATGAACGTTAGGCCAAATCACATCCACAAATGTACATGCAGAAAAAGGTGAATCGCCAGAGCACCGGTTGGCATTCTTATAGAACAATTTCTATCTCTTCTTTCTAATGCTGCTGTAGGTCAGTAGATGGCTAACAGTAGGCCAAATCAGTCAACATTTTAGCATGGTTGATCATATTCCCTAGAAGCTTGAAAATTGGGCAGTTTTAAGATGCTACTCTCGTTAAGCATAATGAAGATTGAAAACCCAGATGCTGAACATTAGCCTTGGCAGAAGTTAGCAGGGAGTTGTTCTGAGCAGTGTAAGTCCCTACACAACTAGTTTTCTAAGCTAGGGATGTCCAACCTTGGCAACTTTAAGAACAGTGGACTTCAACTCCCAGACTTTAATGTGGAAGCCAGCTTGTTCAACTCCCAACTTTTAAGACCTGTGGACTTCAACTCCCAGAATTTTCCAGCCAAGGTTGGACACCCCTGTTTTAAGCCTTTCCCCATCTTATCTAGTTTTCCTCTTTTTTCCTACTGGTATCACCTCATCTTCTTTCCTCAAACAATAAGGAAACCGATCCCTGGGATCCAATGGACAGCAACTTGATCTTTCTCCAAACCTTGGCCAAAGTGCAGAGGAACACTTACCTGCGTGGGTCAACCAGTTCTTCTGTCACGTAATTTAGGAAATTCCACCCACTGAATGCAAAGGAGCCTTGGAGAAAGGCTAGGGCCAAATGTCCCACAGACGGGGTCATCCAGAAGCTGAAGGCATTGCTTGGTATCAATGCTTCATAGTTTTCTACAAGGAGAGCAGACTTCAGTGAGGGCATCGTCAGTTCACACAAACACATCATGTACTGTAGGGTCAAAAAAAAGTCAAGATGGCAGCTGGTCCTGAGTGATTAAAATTCCATCCCTTTTTAGAAAAGAATAACAGCGTTGGAAGGGACCTTGGAGGTCTTCTAGTCCAACTCATGGTTAAGCAGGAAACACTACTTCAGACAAATGGTTATCCAACATCTTCTTAAAAACTTCCAGTGTTGGAGCATTCACAACTTTTGGAGGCAAGTTGTTCCACTGATTAATTGTNACTCCCACCAGGTCACATGGCCGGCAAGCCACTCCCACAAAGGAGGCCACACCCACAGAGTAGGTTCCAAAAATTTTTGAAACCCACCACTGCCCACCACCCAGAGCTGAAGAAGCTTCTTGGATGAGAAGTGAAACGTCTTCAAAGAAAAACCAGAAACTCCAGTTGCCTTTTGAAAAAGCACCTTTGAGACTAATCCAATGTGCTGATCCAACAGTGGCCCCCAAGTTTTTGCTCTGAACAGTTCACACAAACAGTATCACTGCCCTGATCAGGTTAACCCAGTTACAGCCAACTGGTCATGTATATGATCTCTGATACGAAATATATAGCTATTCTCAACCGGCTTACACTGTGCTGATTACTTGTGGATGACAATCGTATCCTCTATAAATTTGTCAAATCTCTTTCTAAAACGGCTCAAAACTCCCTACGGGGACAGCACACCCAATCTTACATTCATATTGTCCATAACATCTTAATTGCAGAATTCGCTCCACAGAGATTCCTTGCAACTTAATGCCAGAACAGCTGCCATGTCCCCAAACTCTGTTCAGCATGAAACACACCAGAACATTCCCACTAGCAAAGCTGTTTTCCCCTCCCTCTTCCCAAAATAAAGGAACAAATTAAAAAATGCTCAGGAGAAATAAGCCAACAAAGAAATAAATCGTACTTTATCTAACCTTGAGGAGGTAAAAAGGTATCCATTTATTCCTCCAAATGTAGACAAGGCCACAGACACTGGCATAACCCAGGAAAAATAGCCCAGTAACTTCTCACCAAATGTCTAAAGCAACGAAAGTCAGGAGGAGGGATGGAAACGAAACATAAATTGCAACGCACCAAACAGAAAGCCAAAAAATAAAATAAAAATATGAATCATTTTTTCAATGAATCCCAAACTCAAGTCAAATTCCGGGGTGCGTTTTACTTACTACCGCCACAGCGTTGGAAGACAGGAGTTCTTGGGGTGACATGGCCGTGAAATAGGCAACATTGGTGAAGGTGTATACAAAGGTCACCAGGGGAATGGAGATAAATATGGCGCGGGGTAGATTCCTAATTTCCAAAACAAAAATGAGGGAAGGGGGGATTGGATAAGCATTGATAAGCAAGGCCCAAGAAACAATACCCAATATGGACATCAGAGGTGGGTTCCTACCAGTTCGCACCTATTCGGTAGAACCGGTTCATCAAATCTACCGAACCGGTTAGAAGAGGTTCCACCAGTGGAGCCGGAAAGCAGGCCACACCTACAGAAGAGGTTCCAAAATTTTTTGAAACCCACCACTAGTCCTTGGATATCATTATTCTACACTTTCATGCTCATATTTATAAAATTCAGTGCCTCTGTGAAAGGTAAGGATGACTACTGCGTTTGTGGTGCAATCAGAACATTGTGTGTGTTGAGAGTTTTCTAAAAAGTATTGGGTTTCATGCAGAAGACCCTTTAAACACCGGGGGGGGTTTTTTTGGTACCTTTGAAGATTTGCACAAAGCCAACAGTTATGATAAGACCCAAAGCCAAGAGTTTTCCTGCGGTGAAGATGTCCTGGATTCGTGTGGCCCACCGAACGCTGGAGCTGTTCACCCAAGTCAACAGTGCTAGAGATCAGAAAGCAGAGTTCAGTTCCTCAAAATGGAAAGCAAAAACAGGGGGATCTGTAGGGAGGAGTAAAAAAAAGTCAAGATGGCAGCTGCAACTATACGGTTGAAAGCCTGCCCTTTAGGTAAATGCATGTAAATAAGGAGTGTGGTTTTGGCCCCACAGTCACAGCTGCCACCTTGATTTTTTTTTTTACTTCCCTGCAAACACACTTCAGCAAAAGTCACATCTATGTGCAGGCTTGAGCATCCCTGTGTACTTCTAATTATGATCTTAATACACTTCAGCAAAAGTCACATGAGCCAGGGTGGCACAGTAGTTAGAATGCAGTACTGCAAGCTACTTCTGCTGACTGCCTGAAATTTGGCAGTTCAAAGGGATAGGGAGGAGGGAATAGAGAAACAGAATGCTTTCTCCTGGGAACCAAGAACCTTCTCACAGGTGGCCAGGGAGAGGAGGAGCGATGTTGCCTGGCAACCGGATGGCACCTTGATTGGACCATGTGACTGACTGCTTGGAAAAGGGGGAAACTTTTACTTTTAATTAGGTGAAAACCGCGGGAATATTCAGAGCCAGTTTTCACCAGCTTATGCCAATATGACATGTCCAATAAAACAATTCTTTGAGGAACCTACTTGTCTCAGAACTCTGTTTATTATGGATGTATTACTTGGCGTGACCCGAGAAATGAGCGCCCGACAACAGCGCGCCATCAAAAACGCAGCAATAAAACCGCGACATCGACAGCACGCCCACAAATGCGCGCCAACAAAAGAGCGCCAACAGAAGCGCGATTAGGTTTAAGGTAAGGGTTACGGTAAGGGTAAGGGTAAGTGTTAGGTTTAGGTTTAGGTTTAGGTTTAGGGTTAGGGTTAGGGTTAGGTTCAGGGTTAGGTTCAGGGTTAGTTTCAGGGTTAGGTTTAGGGTTAGGTTTAGGGTTAGGTTTAGGGTTAGGTTTAGAGCGTGCTTCTGTCGGTGCGCTGTTGTCGGCGCGCTTCTGCACTGATTCGTCGGCGCTATTTTGAACTCGCGGTTTTCTCACCGCGGTTTCATCGGTGCGCTTTTGTCGAGCGCGCATTTGTCGGTGAACCATTACTTGGAACACTGACAATAAACCGACTCTGAGGCAAGTGAGTTCCTTTGATAGCTCTGAGCCCAATGATAGCCTTAGAAGATAAAGAAAACCAATGAGAAATCCATACTTACATAAACACACCATGGAGAGGACTCGTGAAGCTTTGTAAGGTGGGATGCAATTGGGAAATACTGGCTGTAGGACATAGTTGGAAAAGGTCAATGCAATAACAGCCAGGCTGGTTGGGTACATGATAAGGACTGCACTCCATAGCAGCAGAAATCTGCAACCAATAGAAACAATTCAAGATATCTCGTTGAGACTAGATTGCTGGGCAGAACATCATGTACGGGGCCAAGTATTATAGAGAGAGACCAAGAGGAAAGGAGTAGAGGGGGATTCAGTTTCTCATTTGATTTCAACCCACAGTCAAAACCAGGAGGCCGAGTTAAGTGAGTCATCAGCAGAGGTGGGTTCCTACCAGTTCGCACCTATTCGGTAGAACCGGTTCGTCAAATCTACCAATCCAGTTAGAAGAGGTTCCACCAGTGGAAGAGGGTCCAAAATTTTTTGAAACCCACCACTGGTCCTTGGATATGATTATTCTACACTATCATGCTCATATTTATAAAACTCAGTGCCT